TATAAGGCTGCCGTACTATATTGGGAGGTGACGTAATTTAGAAAACTACATGTAACAATATAGGCTTCTATATTTATTGCTGTTATTAACTGCTGTTGTTAACTGTTACCGCCTATTACTATGATGTTTGTTGTTGTCAGCAAGGTTTCAGTTCTCAGTCATCGGTTGAAATGCTGTGAATGGACATGGGACTTGAGAAGGTTTCCAGGCATTGGGTTCAAACGTGCTTGGAGCCGTAGAGTGCGAGTGCCAGGGTTCAGGGTCGAGCTTGTTTCATAGCGTCTAGCGGCTCAGTATGTCGCGCGCAATATTCTTGGCGGGTTCAGTAATTTTTCTAGAGATATCAGTGATATCAGACAGCTTTTGCGTGAAAACTGATCGTGCGCAGGAGGAAGCTGTGAGCATCCTGAACATTCTCAAAGAGCAGCCTAGTCCAAGGACGAGTTCTCTGCGTTTAGACCCCCATGAGCCTGCCGAAAGCTCGCAGAACTCAGAGGACACCGAGCTTTTAAGTTTTAAGTGGAGTGGCTTTCCGAAGTTCTGTCTACTGAGGTGTTTACAACTCAGCTACGGTCTAGGAATGGGCGCGGCAGGTTTGCAAACTCCCATGTTGGGTTTGGGGCGCCTTGTTGTCGTTCATGGACTCGCAATGCCTCGGTTCGGCATCTGCACCGGCTTCTCGCAAGCTATCCTCAAACTCCAAATCAACAAACAAGTGCTGGAAGTATCAGCCGAATGATCGGTTATGTCACCCACTTCAAGGTAGCTTGTACTCTGAAGCACCTGACTGAAGCAAACATCAGCTGCGTGCGCTACAGCGGGTTGAGTCTCATCCCGAATGAGGTGGTGGTGGTGGAGTCGTAGCGGTGGTGGTGTTGGTAGTAACAGCAAAGTAGAAATCGTCTTCTCCCATTCCTCAACCCTCCCGCTCAGAGCAAATATTTTTCATGACAATCAATCATGTAGAATTTAATGGGGGGTGTAATAGTTTGACTCTGCCGGTTTTCGCCCTAGTCCCAGCCCCAGGCCACAGCCCTAGGCGTTGAGTAGCAGCAGCGGTAGCAGTAGCGG